AAATCAAATGTGACAAACCGCGGGTCTGTGCTTACCATAAAAAACATTTAGTGCAGCTCTTTGTATTCGCGTCAGGGCATTTTAGGCAACTGTACAATGTGGCAGTATGACCACCTGTACAGTACGCCTGGCACTGAACTGTTTTTTACACTTTTGAACAGTTCCTTGGTCATACATTACTGCGTATCATTACACAGCTGATTCAGAGCACGGGAATAGCGTAGTGGACAGTGCGTCGATAAAGAACAACGGAGCACACAACGGAGCGAGTTCGTATCTCACTTACAGATCTTGTGTTTTTTCTCTCCTTCTGCACCCTCACATTTTTCTGTATAATATTATAAGTGGCAGCTTTGTCTTTTGTAGGAAAATATATCTTTAATTTAAGATGTAGGACATCGTTCTTATATATACATTCACGCACACACACCTACATTTTTTAATATAATATTTTTTTCAGGGTTTCTAAATGCTATTGTGTGCATTAATTGCAGCCGATTTTAAAGCTCCATCAGTCACTAAAGGACACTGATAATATAAAATTTGTCCAAAGTATAGGTGTGCAGGTACAACTTAATTTTCTATCCTTAATCTTTTGGTGTTTTAACTATTAAACTCATTACTGCTTCCACTTACCAGCTCATCACACACTCCACCTCATCACTATGTTGAGGCTAAATGGCTGATTTTCAGGAAGTAATGATTCAAGTGTATAACACAAATATAGTAAAAAAAAAAAACTATAAAGCAAATGTTGCTTAACACAATGTTTATTTTTATTATATTTGTATTATAAAATAGAATCATTACTGGGCACTACATTGTTACTTGCTGGAGGACAAAAGATACCTTTTTTTGCCTTATACGATGACACGTACCTGCAGCCTGACCCAGAGGAAATCTCAGTGACCCAAGCAGACAAAACAGATGGAAGAGTGCTAAAAAAATATAATTAGTCAAAAAACTATGTTTAATCAAATAGTTTGATCTGTTGATTTCTTCATTTCCTGAAATAAAATGAATGATTTTGTACACTGCTTTATACACACACCTTTCAACGTGTAACATATTTTTCATATACATTTCTCCCCTTAAGTTGATGCTCATGTGACTTTATCTTTGAAGATGGACCTTATACAGCTACTTTAGAATTTAAATATGTAGATAAAAGATTTTGTGATCCAAGAGTAATATTCAAATATGGAAAAGTGCAGAAAATTCTTACACTGCTTGTTAGTTGAGGCAGAAGGAACTTCGTCTGCATGCAAAATAAAAAGAACCTAAAGCTATCTGACAACAATCACTTACAACAGTGACAGAGTGTGTGGTTTAAGTCAAAAACTCAACCACTGAAAAGCCTTTATTATAGGACACAGCAGTTAGACAGGCCTCTTTCTATAAGCTGCATGGCAGAAAGAATATTCTAGAGTGTTAAATAAAGAGCTCCAGTAATTAAATATTACCTTTTATGATAATGTTTCTGTGTTTAATGACTTTGGACAGAGTTCTAGCTCCAGAAAGATTACAATTTCTATAAGCCTTATTAGTCAATACACATATTGGCCTTAAGAAATTAATGGCAAGAAAAATAAATGCATGAATGGTTACACAACATACTCAAAAAGGATGTTAAAGAGTAGTTTAATTTATCATTACAATAAAATGGAGGGTGGCATGTGTAATTTAATGAACTAAAAAAATTCTTATTATTTATTTTTTATTTTCTTATCTATTTCTTACTCTATATTTCTTTCCTTCGTTGAAGCAGATGTGTAATCTCTGTGTTTAAAACCTCCAGCTTCGCCTCTGTAAAGTGCGTTGCCCTTTTTTTCCTCACCGTGACTTTCTATGGTGAATTCGGCGATCTACTGAAAATGCCTTCAGGTGTGTGCCGTGCACGCGCATTAACCCGCGGTTATCTTCAGGAGGTTGATTTAACTAACTCTTGTCACCTGTTTTGGAACCAACATACTCGCGGTAAGCAGGTTTTGGGTAAATCAACCGAGAGTTTAGGTTTTAGCAGATGGTAAGTTAACCCAGCTTTCTGGAATACCCCCCAGATGTCGCTGGTAAACAATCACTCATGAAACTACAAAACTGCCAGTTAATGGACTTCAACTTCATACATGCTCTTCACCCACACACCTGCTTTCTCATCTAGCTTGATTACATTAGCACACCTGAGGACTTTCAGAGACTGATTAACACACACTATTTAAGCCACACATTCACCCCTTCAGTTTGCCGAGTCTTGTTTATCTGTAAGGTGACATTACAACGTGTTATCATGGTCTTGTTTTCCCGTGTTTTGATCTTAGCCTTGTTTATTTAGTTATCCTTGTCTGCCGCCTGCCTTTCGACCTCTTGCTTGTTAATTGACTACGATTCTGGATTGTCCTCACATATCTGTTTGCTCCCGTATTGACCACTGCTTGCCTGACTGTGAATAAACCTGCATATTGGATCCTACCTTCTGTTGTCAGTGTCACTCCCAGTCGTTACAGAAGACTCGGCCACAAAATGGATCCAGCAGGAATTCAACTCCTGTGTCTTCGTCAGGGAGATCGCCCCATCGACGAATACGTGGAGAACTTTATTCAGGTAGCCCACCTTACAGCTTTGGACAATTTGTGCCAGATGATATTTTTCCATGGCGGGTTATCTGAACCTCTGTATTCATGTATACCACTGTACGAACCCCACTGGACAATGGAAAAATACATTGATCTTGCACTGCAAATGAGTGGGTCTTCCTTCTCTGTTGGCAAGGTGGAGGACACCCCTAAATATTTTTTGGGGGGGGGCAAAGGACAGCAAGACCCGCTGGCAACGGGGCTTACTGCTCATTCCACCAACACACACACAGTTCAGAAAATGGCCGCATCTAGTCCTCCTGCTCACAAGATGGCCGACTCCAGTCCCCCAGCTCACAAGATGGCTACCTCCAGTCCTCCAGCTTGCAAGATGGCTGCTCCAGCTCACAAGATGGCCGCCTCCAGTCCTCCAGCTTACAAGATGGCTGCTCCTCCAGCTCACAAAATGGCCGCCTCCAGTCCTCCAGCTTACAAGATGGCTGCTCCTCCAGCTCACAAGATGGCCGCCTCCAGTCTTCCAGCTTACAAGATGGCTGCTCCTCCAGCTCACAAAATGGCCGCATCCAGCCCTCCAGCTCAGAATGTGGTAAGAGTTAATCTGACACAAGCTCAGAAGATGGTTTCCTGTTCCTTGTCTGTTCCTGCCATAGTTCCTGTTCTAGTTCCTGAAATACCATCACCTGAGCCACCAGAATGGCCACCACCACCTGAGTTACAAGAGCTGATGCCACCACCAGAACTGTTACTGCCAGAGCTGCCACCACCAGAGCTGTTACTGCCAGAGCTGCTGCCAGACCCTCCAGAGCTGCCAGACCCTCCAGAGCTGCCAGACCCTCCAGAGCTGCCAGACCCTCCAGAGCTGCCAGACCCTCCAGAGCTGCCAGACCCTCCAGAGCTGCCAGACCCTCCAGAGCTGCCAGACCCTCCAGAGCTGCCAGACCCTCCAGAGCTGCCAGACCCTCCAGAGCTGCCAGACCCTCCAGAGCTGCCGCCTCCTGAACCTCCTGAATGGCTGCCGCCTCCTGAGCTTCCTGAATGGCCGCCGCCTCCTGGGCTTCCTGAATGGCCGCCGCCGCCTGCTGAACTTCCTGAATGGCGCTGCCACCTAAGCTTCCTCAATGGTCGCAGCCTCACGATCCAGGCCCTCCGCAGCCCCACGCTCCAGGCCCTCCGCAGCCCCACGCTCCAGGCCCTCCGCAGCCCCACGCTCCAGGCCCTCCGCAGCCCCACGCTCCAGGCCCTCCGCAGCCCCACGCTCCAGGCCCTCCGCAGCCCCACGCTCCAGGCCCGCCTCAGCTCCACGCCCCAGGTATGCCCCAGCTGCATGGTCCTGGCCCTCCATCCCTCCCCCAGTTCCGCCTCCGCTCCACCTCCCGCCTGAACAGTATTACGAGTGTCTGGAAGCCACTCTTTAGAGGGGGGGCTCTGTCATGTTTACCAGTGAACAAACCACCAGATGTCGCTGGTAAACAATCACTCATGAAACAACAAATCTGCCAGTTAATGGACTTCAACTTCATACATGCTCTTCACCCACACACCTGCTTTCTCATCTAGCTTGATTACATTAGCACACCTGAGGACTTTCAGAGACTGATTAACACACACTATTTAAGCCACACATTCACCCCTTCAGTTTGCCGAGTCTTGTTTATCTGTAAGGTGACATTACAACGCGTTATCCTGGTCTTGTTTTCCCGTGTTTTGATCTTAGCCTTGTTTATTTAGTTATCCTTGTCTGCCGCCTGCCTTTCGACCTCTTGCTTGTTAATTGACTACGATTCTGGATTGTCCTCACATACCTGTTTGCTCCCGTATTGACCACTGCTTGCCTGACTGTGAATAAACCTGCATATTGGATCCTACCTTCTGTTGTCAGTGTCACTCCCCGTCGTTACAGCTTATAAATGAGTTTATAATGAGCCTCTTTGCATTTAAATTTGTGGGTGAAACTGACCTTTAAACACCAACGTAAATACAGTGCAATATGTTATTAAATATTTCCAACAACTCAAAAGAAAAGAAAAAAAATGGTTCAAATTGACTTGCAATGAAGCTCAACACTGGATTGGAAAAAATGCTTGTAAAATATATAAATTTATTTCTGCCATTTAATTATTGTCTCATTATTATGAGAAAGCAAGTCATTAATATAAGAAAGTCAGTCATTAATCTAAGAATATATGTCATTATTACAAGATATTAAGTCGTTATTACAAGAAAGTATCTCATTATAATGGGAAAGTCATTGTTATGAGCTCATTTCTCATTATGACTTTAAATTCACTATTTAATTTGACTTTATGGTGAAACTATTTCAGTAATTATTTCTGTATATTTTGTAACTAAATTTGCATTGGAACAAATTTACACACATTGGAAAATTACAATATATAGTTATGCCACTGAGAAGTTATCAATCCGATTTTACTAGCTTAATGGATCACACAGCAATTTAACAGGATTATTATTTAAATGCAAACACCCATGCATTCACATTGAAGCTGTACAATAAAAAGGGGGATTTAAGTGACTTTGAATGTGGCATGGGTTGTTTGCATTTAAGCATTTGCATTTGACATTTAAGCAAAACATTCTCTAGAGTTTATAACAGTGTAGCGTAATGTAATGTAAAAACTGCACATAATAATTATGACATTATTATTGTAATATGATCATTATATGAACATTATAAACACATCAAAAATAATCACATTGCCATTGTAAAGGCATTTTTAAACCTAAAAACATTGAAATGTTTGCTTTGCCTAAAAGCAGAAAATTTAAATATGCATCTAATAATAATAACAACCACAAATGTATATTTTCTGAATAACAAAATGAGTTGCACAACATCAATATCACACATTTAACTAGTCTTTAAGTAAAATGATGCTCATGAAGCCAAAGGTTACAAACCAAAGGTAACATCACCAAAAATAATTCTGTCTGTTCTTGCTATGCTAGGGAAAAAAAATCAAAAATAATTAAAAATAAATAAATAAAAATAAAAAAATAAATAAAAAAATTATAAATAAACAAACAAACAAATAAATAAATAAATCTGAATGAACAGAAATAAAAAAAAGTCATAAGGTACACAGTGTAAATGGCAAAATATGAAAGAAAATTGTTTAAATAAATAAATAAGCAAATATAAGAGCTTGGTTTTGCTCTAAATAGTTCATTCAAAAACAAAAGTCATAAATGTACATATACTGTACAAACATCGTACGTCATGTATTTAACAAAACGCAAATTTAATTCATACTACTATTAAACTGACCAAAATATGGTCTGATGATTGTTCCTTAAACCTGATCCTCCTGGTTCAGTTCAGTTGCAGCCTCTTGAGCCTGAGATCTTACTGCTTTCACTGTGGGCTTTTTGGGCTTTTTGTCAGTGCAGCACTTATAAACACCCACTATGGATGCGATACAAACGCTGAAGATCATGAGGCAGATATAGCCAATACACTGAAAATAAAAGCAAAAAATGAAGAATTGAAGAAATAAATCACACATGTAGAAAAATAACAATGAGGATGATAATGTTAGTAACAAAAATAACAATATATTTTCAAGATTTATTGAAGATTAAATAAATAAAGTTAGTGCTTTGTAAATATAGAATAAAATTAAAACAGTGCACCCTTGTGGTGATCTGAGGAGATTATTTCAGGCCGGGTCAAACAACTAGCATACACTCTAATTCGTAAAAAATGGGAAAATGTACTGGCAGCTCCTTACACGGATTTATTTACTTCTTTTTTTTACCATAAATTAAAAACAGAAACTTCCATTAATTGACCGTGTGCCATTGTTGAAAAAAACAAAAACAAACAAAAAAAGTTTTTTCACAGTTAAACTTCTGTGAAAACATGAAACATTTTCTATTAATTTAAGGTTTTTTATATTAAAAACGGTTATTTTCTGTGCTTTTAAGAGCAAATCAGCAGTAAAAAAGTGTTTTTTTTTTCTGTGTTTAAATAGTATACCTACAGTATAAAACTGGCCTTTTTTTGTAACTGTAACAGTCTTGTCACCTTGTGTTGGCTCATATCTGGTTCCGTTTGGACTAAAATGACCCAGTGGCTGACTGTCAACTTGATCTGTCCCAGCAATTAGTCTAAGGGTGCTTTCACACTTGGTTCAATTGCCTGGACTGTACCCAAGTTCGATTGTTTCCCCTTGCCACCATCTCGGATGGTTTGTGTTCACACTAGCTGCGTCCGTAACCGCATACCTTCATAATATATAGTATGCTAAAATCAGTATGCGAGCCGAGTAGTATGTCCAAAATCATAGAATTCGAAAATAAGTATGCGAGAAGTACCCGGATGACTTACTACTTCCGGCAAGATTCTGAAGTGCGCATCCCATGCACAATGCGCGATCCCATCTCGCCATGCGAGAGAATTCATGAATGGGAGTGAAGCTACAAAACTGATGCAGGCAGGCCACGTGACCATGACAAAATGGCGGATGTAGTAAGTCCGAATTCCATTCGTACTTTTCACATTCATACTGTATAGAACGTACTTTTCTAACAGCCGAGTAGTACGTTTAAATTCAAATGCAGTACCTGCTGAGTAGTAGGCAGTTTTGGACGCAGCCACTGTCTTTTTCCTTCTGGTACGCTTGTGTCATCGAGCTGCTCTTTTGTTTATAGCTGTTGCTAGGTGATGGTCACGAAAGCCAAAATAGGGAGAGACGTTCGCACATCGTGGTCATTCTGCTTTTACTGAACCTTTTGGTTTTGAACATACAGAAAGCGACTTACATCTATCTGCCGCAAAAAATATTCACAGTGTCTGCATGAGCTGTTTTTAGAGGAGACAAGCATACATTATCACTGTGTTTGCCCTGGCTTGGTCCAGCTTGTCACCAAGGTACAACACGTGACACACACACACACACACACACACACACACACACACACACACACACACACACACAAATGAATGTTATGAAAACAACAGTTTGTTGTACAGTTGGCGGTTTACTTCCGTTATTTGGTACAATTGCATCCATACCAGAAGTGAACCAGAGCAGAGTTCGCAGGAATCATTCCCCAGACCATCTCTTCCTAGGCAGACTCGGGTACGGTTCACGGGTGCGCACCCAAATTCAGAAAGCACGTTCACACTAGTGAAGCGTGCCATACTCTGATGTCAAACGAACCAGGAAGCAGACCAAAAGTGCTAGTGTGAAAGCACCCTGAGTTATATTGTGAGTTTGTAAACAGACAAACAGTCTTTCAAAATAAAGCACTATACTGTGTTTACCTTTATGATTATGAGATTAACTTGAACAAATACTGTTCAAACATTTCATATTTTCTGAAGAGACAGTACTCACCTGTGATTTTTCGATGTGTCCAAGTGTCAGGTTTTTATATTCAGTCTCATTTTTTTCAGGGGTGAATTCAAGTGGTTTACACCATTTTATTTGCAGCTTGTCATCAAAAGTGTACTGTCCTGTCCATTGTGTTTGAATACAGGCCACGTAATCCCCATCTAACAGCATTAGAATGAACCACAGGAGAGGTGGAATCAGGCTAATGGCTATATAACCACAATACTTGCAACATTTGTTTTCTTCTTCATCATCATTTCCTTTGACTTCTTCCTTTCCCTTTTCTTCTTTAGGTTTTAGACACAGATAAATAAAGGTTAAAGCAAAACTGAAAAGAGCCGGCGACATGAAGACAGAGATTGTCAGGCATGTTTTCTTCAAGTCTGAATCGCACGGACATGAAAATTTTTTATCAGTCAGAAAATCAAGTGGAATCAACAAAAGACTCATCGGGAAAGATTGGAAAACATCAGTTTTGGCCAGTCCACTCTTAAACGAAGAACATATTTTGTTTTTCACGGGCATTATGTCTAGTTTACTCATCACTCTTTTTAGATATTTGGGGATGTTTTGGTCTTTTTTTGGTGCACAAGATCCTCACGAGAAGTTAAAATGTGAAGGACAGGTCTGCAAAAACACAAAATGACAAAAATATCAAAATGCAAACACAATAATTGACGTTATAACAATAGCAAAGGTATGTTTACTTATACGTTTACTTACATACTTTATTTTTTCAAGAACTTATTATATATTTTAAAGACTTATATGTTTTCAGACTTGCTCTGTGTTTTCTTCTCTGTGTGTGGTTTTGCTGCGTCGGTATCTGCGATGTGCGTCTCAACAAGAAACATGAAAAACACACAGAGAGAGAGAGAGAGAGAGAGAGAGAGGGTAAAATAAGTATTGAACATGACATGATTTTTTTTAGGTAAATATATTTCTAAAGCAGCAACATGAAATTGTAGCAGGTATTGGTTAAAAAAACGAACAAACAATCAAAAAAAAAAAACTTTTAGAAATGGTTATTTGTATAAAATATGAACGACAAAGATAAATTGCTGAAATACTAACATGTGTTTATGACTTAATTTATTTGTACTACATTATTAGTTACACTTTACAACAAGGTTTTATATATATATATATATATTCATATGTAAAGATATTTGCCTATTGCTCTCTTGTGCGTATTAAGCAGTGTGTAAGTGAGGTGCAACTCTGCGCCAGAGTTTAGACCGGGTTTTTTTTGGTCTAATGAAAAATCTATTATAGTTTCTCAAAATAGCAACGCGCCAGCGGTCCGCCTCAGAACGCTTTCCTTTTTAGACCAGAACGCCTATAGGCGCACATATGAGCGCTAATGCATTTGCTATTTACACAGCGTGGTGCAACGCCTCAAAACGACACTTGCGCCAAGCTGAAACTACCAAACCTTATACTTCTAAGATGAGGATTAGTTAACAAGCATGAATAAGCACTTTAATAAATGTATCACTCGTGTTAGTAAGTGTATTGACTAATATTAACTAATACAACCTATTGTAAAGTGTTACCACTTTATTTATAGTAGTAATACTACACTGAAAAAAAATGCCACACTGTGAGTTCCACACAATTCATTCATGTTGTTCCAACACAAATTGATTAAGTTAACTTAACACTTTTAACAAATGTATGTGGATTGCACATAAAAAAATTAAGTTGTCCCAATGACATCTCAAGAATTGTGTTGATTCAGCTCATTTTAAACAAGGAGTTTGAACAAGTAACAAAATGTTTTTGAGTGTATAAAAGCCTTTTGGTAATGACAGCTTCTTCACTGAAAAAAGTGTTGCATGCAGAACTGTGGCAAACAATTTGTGTTAAATGTAAACAAACAAATTAAATTTAATAATGCTCAGCATTTTTTTTGTTTAAATTCAGCCAAAATAAATTGTTTACAACCACTTAACGTAAAAAAAAATTTAGTAAATCCAAGGAATCATCTTTGAATAATTTTTTTCAGTGTATGAGAACTAAGTCACATACATTGAACATGTGGGATTTTATCCCATACACTTGAGTACCGACTCATTCTAAGGGCTCTATTTTGACGGGCTATGCGCAGAGCGCAAAACGCAGGGCGCAAACACTATCAGGGCGTGTCAGAACGCATTTTTGCTAATTTAAGGACGGGAAAATCCGCTTTGCACCGTGGCACATGGTCTAAAAGGGTTGAGTTTATTTTCTTAATGAGTTATAGGTGTGTTTTGAGAATAAACCAATTATAGTCTCATCTTCCATTCCCTTTAGGAGCCAGCTGCATTGCGCCATAAGCGCATTCGTTATTTACAGGACGTAAAGTAAGTCTAAGTGGAAAAAATGAGCATTTCACTAGCAAACAGTTAACAGTTTTTTTTTTGTTGTTGTTTTTTTACAGAAAACTGTTAAACAGAGCATCTACTGCGTGAGAATGAGAGATAATGGAACTACTTTCACTTTCGCTCTTGGATAGGGAAACCTTTACGCACAGACATCAATTAGTCTATAAATAATTAATTTAGTTTGTTAAGCGCAAATATTTGTTTCAAAACTATTTCTTAATTCAGTTCTAATTTCCAGCAAACGAATAAATTAATAATAATGGCAAAATGTGCTCATAAAATATATAAGGATATAAAATAATGAGTTATATCCTAAAACACATGCAGTGCCCCTTATGGTCTAAAACCTGCATGTAGGCAAATCTAAGCTTGTTTTTAATAAAACAAATATATATGTATATTCATATGTATATATATATATATATATATATATATGTATATATATATATATATATATATATATATATATATATATATATATATATATATATATATATATATTCATATATATATATTCATATATATATATATATATTCATATATATATATTCATATGTAAAGATATTTGCCTATTGCTCTCTTGTGCGTATTAAGCAGTGTGTAAGTGAGGTGCAACTCTGCGCCAGAGTTTAGACCGGGTTTTTTTTTGGTCTAATGAAAAATCTATTATAGTTTCTCAAAATAGCAATGCGCCAGCGGTCCGCCTCAGAACGCTTTCCTTTTTAGACCAGAACGCCTATGGGTGCACATATGAGCGCTAATGCATTTGCTATTTACACAGCGTGGTGCAACGCCTCAAAACGACACTTGCGCCAAGCTGAAACTACCAAAAGACTATTGCACCGCGCCTTGAGCCACATTGCACCGGGTGTATGATAGGGCCCAAAGTCTAGAAAGAAAGGCACCAACAATCCTTAAAACAGACCATATGCAACAGAAACATGTTTAAGCTACTTTAATTGCTGTAAAATCAAGCATTTCCTCATGTTTTGCTGCTGATTTTTCATCTGTTTGGGTCACTGACAGATGACAGTTGCAGCAGCCTCTTTTGCCCTTGCTTATCTTTTGCTTGCAGACATCCACATTCAACTCCCAGTTCAGTTGCATTTGTTTTTGTTTTTTTTATTCTGAAAGTTAAAGTGAAATAAAGTTTCATGACCCTTTAAAGTTCACTGTAAAAACGACGAGAGTTCCACACAATACTTTCATGTTTTCCCAGCACAAATTAATTAGGTTAACTTAATTGTATTAATAATTAAAAAGTGGATTAAACATAAAACAATAAAGTTGCCCCCCCCCCCCCCCCAAAAAAAAAATAAATTGTTGATTCAGCTTATTTTAAATAAGTAGATTGAACAAACAGCAAAATACAAAATATTTTTCAAACAAACAAACAAAAAAACACAAATCTAATAAAAACAGTGCAGTCAGTAACTTGATCTAGCTCATTAACAGCTCCTTAACACAAAAGAATTACATGAAAATAAACCTATGAGCACACGAATAGACTTGTTACAGCATCAAAACATGTCATCCATTAATATCAACTAAGATTTGAACTCAACCTGAAACATCTGATGACACAACAGTACATTTGCAACATACCTGTCTTGCTAAGATCTGCAGCTCTTCTGACAAGAACGGCACGTGATCGAGCAATTGAAACAGGATTATGGAAATGACATCACACAATATTAAAACATCAACAAATGGCCTAATTATACTCTTAGATGGTTTATAATAGTGTTATGTAAAAAAAAGTTTAGAAAATAAATATATAATATAATAACGTGTACTTTTTTAATTTCCTGTGAATAAAACAAAAAGCTATAGCTCAGAAAAGGACAGTTGGTCAGAATAAGAGATGCTTTCATTTATTTAGACTGAAGTCATGCTTATTCTACCAAATCTGGATTTCTTCTAGAGTTGAAAGGCTGGTTGTTGTTTAAAAATTAAAATAGATATCTATAACATGGACACTTTCGGTTTTTACAAATACATACAGTATAGAAATAAAAAAATAAAGTTAAAGGTGTCACGCATTGCAGATATATTCAGAATATAAAGCAGACTTTAAAAAGTCACAAATGAAAATGAACTTAATGTACATGCTCCAGTGGTTGATTCATCTTCACTGCCACTGCCAAAGTGTTTGGTCATAGTAGGCTAAAGGCGCCTACACACCGCAATGCTTTTTGTTTGCGTTTATCGTAAGCGTATATATTTATATATATATATATATGTATATATATATATATATATATATATATATATATATATATATATATATATATATATATATATATATATATATATATATATATATATATATATATATCAGAGGTTGCGTTAACCGAATATTTCCGTCATTGACAGATTTTTTTTTCAGCTGTAATGGAAAAATTTGAAGGTGATCTGTTTTGACGAATTATGCTGAGAGTGATCTTTTGTAGTTTGTAAATTAGCTTTAATTCCCACTCCTGTCCAGCTGACGGCGATTGCCCTTGTTTTGTCTCTTCTTTGTCACCGCTGCGCAGCGAACAAAAATCTCACCGCAGCTGAGTGTGAGAAGTTTCCTTAAACGGCCAAATAGTTGCGATATTAATGATAAAGGTGAAAAAAGAGGAAGTGATGCAGTGGACGATGAAGAACAAACAGACAAAAATCCTCAGTCGCCGACAGCTGTTGTTACGGGCCAACCAAGCGGCAGCAAGGAGGTCAGGTGCTTTGGAGTACGTTGTGAGAACGCAGTGGGGTGAAGCCGCGCCCCTGGTGCAGAAGAAGCGTGCGCTGCAGTATTTTTTCCCGGTGAAACGAGTGCTTGCAGGACCGGAAAATCCCACATTCAGAAAATCCACCAAACTTCTGATCACTTCCTTAGGAGCAATGTTTCCTAACTACAAAACGCAGTCTGAAGTGGCGCAACCCAGATAGCAGGTAGTAATCGGCCACAGCTTGGCTGCCCTTCGGCGCCTCCAGCTCCAACTCGGCATCGGACAGTGTTATCCGGGCTGAGTATGGCCCACAGCTCGCTCCCGCACATGCCTTTGTGATGCGGCTGTAAAGCATTGGCCCTATTCCTGTTAACCATATCTGGCCCGAGTCTGTAGAGTCCGAGCCGCTTCTGGCAAGGACTCTCCTGTGTGGCAGCAGAACGCGGCTTCAGCCTCCAGAACAAAATTAAAACTGTCACGAGAAGTCGAAATTCCGAGGCAAAGAAACTGAATTTAATGACAACTGCCTCTGCATCAGTTTGTCTTCTTGATGCGTTTGATTACGCACAGGCAAGCACCCAGTTCAGGTCGACGCAGGAGGAAGATATGAGGTAAGGCAGATATGAGTTTTTGTTCATTTGTTAAATAAATGAATGAATAATTTAGCCTATATGCTCGTCGTGCAAGTTCATTATTAAAATATGAATGAAAAAGACGATTAGAAAATATGCAAATCAAATGACGGTCAATAAGTTATGACGGAATTTTTACTACCCTCTCCGTCAAAATGACGGACAATGACAAAGTCTAACGCGACCTCTGATTGATATATATATATATATATATATATATATATATATATATATATATATATATATATATATATATATATATATATATATATATATATATATATATATGATTTTTCTTATATGAACTATTTTGCCTATTTTGTCTCATAACAAACTAATGAAACAATAAAACATATTTATTTATATTGAATGACATATATAAAACATTTCATTATGAAAACATGAAAAAAATTATTTTACAAATTCAAATTTCTACAAAAGCATGATAAGTACAGTGCTAGATAAGATACACATATTTCAACAATTGCAAGTTGTAAAATAAAAGTGAACTAAAAAAACTAACACAACACAACAATTGATTACATATACTTAACAAAAATGTCTAAAACACAATACAAAATACTTGTATTCCATCAAACCCACACATCAATATTGCCATGTCGACATACAGTGCATGACCATCTCAATGTCTCAAAAAATTGTCCATACATGCATTTTTAACCATGTTGTACGCTTGAATTGTTTTTTTTTTAGTATTGTTATTTTTTATCGGTTTTCACCATTACTGATAAGACAGTGGAGATTAGAGACAGGGTATGAGGAGCAGAGATAGGGGAATGATCGGCAAAGGACCTTGAGCCGGGAATTGAACTCAGGTCGCCGTGAGCACCTCGGTGTTATGTGTTGATGCACTAACCACTACGCTGTTGGCGTCCACGATTTGAATTGTTTTTTTTAGTTTTCCGCCCAAACCAGATCACAAAGAATGCTGCAATGCAGAAGATGAAGACCATAGCATAACCTGTTAACTAGATAAAACGGGGGAGGGGGGTAAATAAATCAGTATATTAAAACAAGTGCACAAGCCTGTACCATAATAATAATAATAATAATAATAATAATAATAATAAAAGTATTACTAATATTTGTATTTATCCTTATAAATGTTTTTTTTTTACATAAAGGAACCCTTCATTTTATATGTTTAACTTGCATTTTAAAAAATCCTACACAATTCTTACCTTTGATATCAGTATCCACTTTCGTGTTTTTTTCTGTTTCTGTTCAGCCCCAGAGGATGCATCAGCTGAATCTGGTTTGCACCAATTCAAACATTCAGGCCGCAGTGTTGTATCACAGGCATACTGTCCATCCCAGTCTGTCAGTAAACATGCTAGATAATCACCATGGAGAAACATCAGAAAGATCCAAATGTATGCCGGAATGAGTGAAACTAAAACAGCTTTGGCACAAGAAATACTACCATCGTTCTGCTTAGAACATTTAGAAAGTGTAAAAAGAATGAACAATGCAAAGAAAGCAAAGGCAGCAGGTGCAAGAAAGGCACAGGATGATAAAATCCAGTTCCAGTGTCCATTGCATGGGCATGAAAATGTGAAATCCATCAATGCCTGCATTGAAACTAACAAAACAATCATCACTACAGTGGTGATAATATCCTGTTGTTGAAGTGGACTGGAAATCTGAATAAGGCTAGACAAACTTCCTGCAGACTGCATTTTCTAAACTAACAATGTATATTAAACAAACAAACAAACAAACAAATAATACACAACAAATTTGAATGATGTTGAGGGTTTATAGCAATCTGCTGTCTGTCCAGTCCAGAAAATGCAGGTCAAATTATATTGGAATGATAGATGGATCTCCTGCAATGACCAAGATAGCAATCAGCATTTGATGGCTGAAGATATTTATACATTTTAACAAGTACATTGTAAAGTACATTTATAAGCAACATATTTACAGAGCAAAACAATAGAAAAATTATTTCTGGTGATGAAAAACATGAGCACCTTTTGCATTGTTATTATTATTATTATTATTTTATTTATTTATTTTTTTTTACATCTTGTGTTAAAACTACTTAAATTCATATCATGTGTCCTACCTTGCAGCATAAAAAAAAAAATTTTCTTTGTCTTTGTGTTGATTCACAATCAGGCACCTTCTTGTTTGCAGCAGAAAGACTCACAGAGCAAAACAAGTGCACACAGAGGGTTATATACTGTAGGATAAAGCATATGTGCAAGCGTAATGGCGAAAGTGAAAACATTTAACCATTTGTTCTAAGTACCACCATAAGCAGAAAAAATATATATTTATAGTTAGTTCTGTCATTTCAGCAAATCTATTTCCCATGTTTAAAATATAGTTACAGAATAACCATGAAGCTGTAATTCTCATCTAGTTTCTGTACCCTTTCTCAGATCCTTCTTATTCTGCGCAGATGCAGACAAGCCTGCATGCACATTATATTATAAAAATATATTATAAATAATTGAGTAATTGTGTTTGCTCAACATTGCAGACATGCAACTATTCACAGACATATAGGTCAATCATTTGGCCATTCAGAGGTATTTACAGTTTTTCCTTTTTAATTGTTAACAATAATTAAACCATATTTTAAAAAGTGTTCACACAAAGTGTGCATTACCAACATGATTCTTTACCAAACAGTTCAGCTCATCTCCAAAACTCACTCAGACTAACACAACAGTTCATATAAGCCTCGAACTAAGCTTAATTCAGCAAACCACTGACCACAATTTTAATTCCGAAAACATACATTTCATTCATAACACACTGACATAAACACTCTAACAACATGGAGCATTTCAGAATTTTACACCTTTTATTTCTGAATTTTCATATACATTAGTATGCAATTTTTCATTTACCACTACTTCACTGTCTTGATTGTGCTTAAGAATGTGTAATAAGAATAAAAAATAAAAATAAAACTTCTGCAGTTTTTCTAAATCTCTTTGGCAAATATTTCAAAATATTCGCTAAACTGCAATTTAGAGATTTATTTATTTTTGTCACAAGTAAAAAAAAAAAAAAAAAAAAAAATATATATATATATATATATATATATATATATATATATATATATATATATTTATTTATTTTTTTTTTTTTTAAAGAGTAAACATTTCATGCATTTTGTGAACATCACAATTCTTGTTAGTTGTTTAAAAAAACTGTAGTATAATGAGTACATTAATTAGTTTTAGTATTATTAACAGTAGCTTCATAACATATTTGCAATATTTTGTTTTCTGTTATTGTTTTAAAAAACTACTTTAGGTACCACTTTTTGTAAGGATGTGCAGAAAAACCAGAAGTGCTCACACAACAGCTACACATTAATAGGTGACAACTGACACTGAATTTTATACATACACTCCCATGTTTCCTGAAAAGCATTGGGCATTCTGATGGAGTGGACATAACAAAACACCAGTAGGAAACACACTGTTTTCTGTCTATATGCACCAGATATTTTTGTTACAAACGAGAAACATATTCATTCATTTTCTTTTTGGCTTAGTCCCTTTAATAATCAGGGGCCGTTACAACAAAATGAACCACCAACTTATCCAGCACATGTTTTATGTAGCGGATGCCCTTCCAGCTGCAACCCATCACTAGGAAAGACCCATACACTCTCACATGCACACACATACACTATGCCCAATTTACCTTATAACCAGTTCACCTGTACTGCATGTCTTTGGACTTGTGGAGCACCTGGAGGAAACCCCCACGAACATAGAAAGAACATGCAAACTACACACAGAAATGCCAACTGAATATTAATTAATTAATATATATATATATATATATATATATATATATATATATATATATATATATATATATATATAAATTAATGGGATTGCTGGGATTACACTGGTATACAGTTAGAAGCTACATCCTTCATTCAAGTGGATAAGAAGAACTGACTGACAGTTTTTGCATGTTAAAAAAGCAAGACTTATTATTACCTCAGCACATTCTGCCTTTGTACATCCTCATAAACCGTTCACTTCTAGTAATTTGTATTACTTTCCAGTAACGTTACTACTTCTTTTTTCAGAAAACTGCCAGTACTGATTTAGCAGGATTTTTAAACTCTGATTTACCAGGGTTCCTCTCCGCTAACCCTGACTCTAATGAGTTCTCTCTCTCTCATACAGAAAGCACAGAGTGATCGGATTGGGCAATCGGCGTTTCACAGCAGCACTGATTAAAATAAATAAACTCTTCACAATAAACTCACCCACAACTCACCTGGAGCACGGCAACACTGGGATCGAGGGAAGTTCACCAAAGACACCTGCACTCCTCGAACTTTCACCTTACCTTTATTGTAAATAAAGATGGGTGTGTTCACCTACAACTTGTGTCTGCTTTTTCACTCCACCCTGCTACTTTTTTTTATTTTATTTATTGAATTTTTACTGTGATTTTACATATTAGACTTTAATTCATTTTTTATCAAATGTTTAACAACAACAAAAGTATCTATATGGGCAATCCATGAATAAAAATACAATGAGAAAAACATCCTAAATATTTAAGATCCTACAAAAAAAATCCTGAATTCACCATGTTAATAAAAGATCATCCACATATTTTGGAGGTTGTAGTCACGCCTATGTATGTAGCTTTTAGCATAGAATAAAAGTATTAACAATCCAGAAAACCCTGGGGAAACAAACACTAAAATAATAGTTTGCAGTCAAAAACAAAAATATATTTGCAATAAATTCGGGAGGGACCAGATATTTACATACCTAGTAAAAAAAATGAACCATGTTGTACTATTGGGTACTTTTTACTTAAGTACATTTTTGAGGCCATACTTCTTTACTTTTACTTGAGTACAGAAGTGGAGTAAGTACTTCATCTTTTACCAGAGTCATTTTCAACATGAGTATCTGTACTTCTACTTCAGTAAAGGATTTGTGTACTTTTGCCATCTCTGCTAGGCACGGTTGCTTCACGCAAGAAAACGGGAGCTGTTTTAAACAATTGTGCACATGAGCTGTTTGCACGAGTGATCATCCTCTCATTCGGTATTTACCTGCTTTCTTTTGCTCACACAAGTTTGCATTTGCACGTATATTGGGCCATCCTTTTTGTCGAACCCTGCTTTTAAGAAAACTACGATTTAAAAATTCTTTTCAACCAGCCAAAGTGGCTAGTGAGAGTGTCCGTCTAACCCATCACAGCTGAAATCTACCCGCATTTGGTGGGTTGGCGGTTGTTAATGTCAAGCCCTGTAAGGCTCAACTATCCCTTTAATTTCATTTATTGTAATTAATGTGATACAAATATAATATAACATTAAAAAAGTGGCAACCACAAATTGCTTTATATTTTAGATTACTTTTTGTTTAAAAGTCTGAATGGTTTAAAATAAAGCTACCACATACTTTTGATCTACTTATCCCTGACATATTTTGAGGAAATGCGTGCTTTTGCAAATCATTTTCCTAGAAACTTTTTTTAACGTTCTTCCTGTTTTTCAAACAAAACACTTCCCAGTTCACAGCAACACACTTCTCTCGCTCAAACCCCCCAAAATAATTATGTCTGCTCTCGCCGTGCTAGAATATGGAAAACATCAAAATGAACTGGAGTAAAAAAAGTAATAAAGTATGAAGTCGCTCATCAAGAAAAAGAGAGAGCTTTGTCTTGCTTTAAATTAAAATTCGTCCAAAAACAAAAGTCATTAATAGTTATACTGTAGAGACATAGGGAAGACAAGGCCAGTTTATTTACATAGAAGATTTCATACACAATGCTAATACAAAGTGCTTCACATAAACGAGAATATTAAGATAGTAAAACACAGTAGAGACGATTTACAACGATAAACTGTACAACTCACGCATTTAACAAAACGTGAAGATGCTCTAGACTACTGTTCAACTAAAAACTTAAACACTCAGCTTTGATTTATAAATGCTATCCTAAAGGGAATAAGGCCAGTATTAAATAAAAAAGAGGTGGTTCATGGGGAAAAAAACAAGAAACAAAACAAAATAAATTTGCTGTCAAATAACCCCAAAATAGTAATAGACATTTGTTTTCCTTAAACCTGATCCTCCTGGTTCAATGCAGTTGCAGCCTCTTCAGCTTGAGATCTTACTGCTTTCTCTGTGGGCTTTTTATCTTCGCAGCACTTATAAACACCCACTATGACTGCGAGAATTAAGCTGAAGGAAATGAGGCAGATATAACCAGACTTCTGAAAATGAAAATCAACAAGTGAATTAATGAATAAATAACAAATTACTCATGCATATTAATAATAATAATAATAATAATAATACTATATTTTTAGATAAATGGACGATTATTATATCATTACTTTTATTGGACGATTATTATATAAAATTACTTTTTTCTTTAACTTTAAAAAAATACTGTACAACCCCAATACTCACCTGTGATTTTTCAATGTATCCAAGCGTCAGGTTTTTATATTCAGTCTCATTTTTTTCAGGGATGAAGTCAAGTGGTTTACACCATTTTATTTGCAGCTTGTCATCAAATGTGTACTGTCCTTTCCATTGTGTTTCAATGCAGGCAACATAATCCCCATCTAACAGCATTAGAATGATCCACAGGACAAGTGGAATCAGGCTAATGGCTATATAACCACAATACTTGAGGTATTTATTTTTTTTCTTATTTTCTTTTATCTTGTCTTTTTCTTCATCATCATTTCTGTTGACTTCTTCCTTTCCCTCTTCTCTTTTAGGTTTTAGACACAGATAAATAAAGGTTAAAGCAAAGCTGAAAAGAGCAGGTGCAACGAAGACAAAGACTGTTAGGCAGTTTTTTTTTTCACTCGAATTACACGGACATGAAAATTTTTTATCGGTCAGAAAATCAAGTGGAAACAACAAAAGACTTGCTGGAAAAGATTTGAAAACATCAGTTTTGGCCAGTGCGCTCTTAAATAAAGAGCCTATATTGTTTTTCAAGGAAGTCATGCCTTGTTTGCACATAGCTCTTTTTGATATTTTGGGGATGTTTTTGTCTTTTTTTTGTTGTTGTATGGAAAGGTTTGTATTTGGGTGGACAAGATCCTCAAGAGAAGTTTAAATGTGAAGGTCGGATCTGCAAAAAAACACAATGACAGAAAATAACAAATAAAAACACAATTTGACTTTTGTGACTATTCCAAATGTATTTCAAAGTTAAGGATGTATAATTTAGACTTAGTCTGTGTTGTTCTACAGCGTCAACATTTAATGGTATGGTCAGTCCTTAAGAAATATAAAAACTTGTAAACATTTCTGTGAACAGAAATGTTAGGGTGGGACAGTCTGGGAGTAGATTTAATCAGAACAGGAGGTGAGGTCAGACAATTCATTAGTAGCAGATTATTAATTAATTAACAAAATTATATACACACATACTCAAAAAAAAAAAAGGATCATGATGAAGTTTATCATTAATTGTTTGTAACTTTTAGGTTTTATTAAATTTGTCAGTTTTTATGTTGTCAGATTTCATAGAATCAATCTAAATCTTTTAATATTGAATACTATTAGATTTAATCAGTTCAAAGATATGAACATGGTATACATATCTAACTGTAGAAAAAGCCAGATCCACTTAGTTAAATTCTATGAGATTGGTTTACTTTATATTCATTGGCAAAACTGAAGCAGCTCTATACTCCACCAATAGATTAATAAGAAACATTTAAACATATGATATTATTACATAAATCCTGTTAATATTTGATATCAAGATATCCATAACGTTCGAGGTTACTAAAGTAACCCTTCGTTCCCCGAGGAGGGGAACGGAAGCACTATAAGTGGATTTGATTGTAAAATCCACGCATTGGGAGGTTCGGTTCAGAAGCTACTCGTCTGAAAGAGTATTGAACGGGCCAATTAAGAATGAATTGGCAGCGCAAGCCTGCGCAGGTGAGCGGCATAAGCAATCAACTGAGTATATAAGCTCACCTGGCGCAGCAGACGCTATCCTTTTTAAGCTGAAGAGACTTTCAACAGCTAAGGAACAGTCATTATGGCGACGGAGTATAGTGCTTCCGTTCCCCTCCTCGGGGAACGAAGGGTTACTTTAGTAACCTCGAACGTTCCCCTTCGGGGGGAACTTCAGCACTATAAGTGGATTTGATTGTAAAATCCACGCATTGGGAGCCCATTGAAAGCGCCATAATGACTGCACCTTACCAACACCCCCGATGAGGAGATAGTCAAGCAAGCGTGACGCACCCACATCATGGGGGGCGCGGTCCTCCAACGTGTCCCTGGCCCTAATTTATCCTACTTCAACAGAAGTTTTACGGATTTATATATATTTTTTTGGGAAGTCGTGAGCATCTAGATAATTCTAGGAAAATACGACAGTACGTTGGGAAGCGTGCAATCCCGATAGGGAGGACGCTGCGGAGGCCATCCGTTACCCAAGGGGGGATAGATGGCAGAATTTACATATGGACTAGCCCTAAAAAGGGGGAGTACGCATAGCAAAAGAGTGGTTAGCGGGGAGGGAAGACACGGGTCCGCCCAGGGGGGGGGGACTTAACCGTGGCTGAATAAGCATATGGGATCGCCTAGTGGGGACCACGCATAGCAGGCACCTTTACCCAAAACGCGGGCTGACCAGCGGGCAGACCTACAACGTAGTGGGCCAGCAAGTGACTCCTCCGCTGAGTCAGTGCTGGGGGCCACGGAGGAATCTGCAGGGCTCACCTGACGGGGAACTTTACTGACAGATAAAAAGGCGCACGTATCTCCGTGTTAGGGAAAATGGCGCAGCAAGCGTGTTTCAACACCCTACCGAATTGTTTCCTCAATCACCAAGGGTTACCTAATACCCTTGAGGAAACCGGCTCCACTCGCAGATTGTAAAACCTTGCAAATGTGTTGGGTGTCACCCAGCCCGCAGCTCTACAGATGTCTGTTAGAGGGGCGCCGCGTGCGCGCGCTCGAGAGGATGCGAAGCTCCGAGTGGAGTGCGCACGCGCTCTCGGGGGACGCGGCTCATCTCGGCTCTGATAGTGAAAGAAAGGCATCCACAATCTAGTGGGAACTTATTTCGGTACGGCACTTCCCTGCTGCCGACCGCTATAACAGACGAAGAGCTGCTCAGATGATCTAAACTCTGAGTGCGGTCCGGATAATACGCAAACGCGAACTGGACAATAAATAAGGGCTGGGTCTGCCTCCTCCGAGGGCAGCGCTTGCAGGCTCACTACCTCGTATTAAAACGAAGTGGTAGGAACCTTGGGCACATATCGCGGGCGGGGTCTCATACGTGAGAGAAGCCAGCCCAATTACAGGCACGAGTCACTGACCGAAAAATGCCTCCGGGTCCCCGACCCTCTAATCGATATCAACGCGACCAGCAGAGCTGTCTTCAGGGACAGAAAATACTGAGTCGAGGATCGAAGGGATCTGACGCGGCTTGTGTAGCGAGGGCGAGATCCTAAGAGGGCATGAGAGGGGGCGGGGTGGATTAATTCGCTTAACGCCCCTGAGGAACCGGATGATGAGGTTATGCGTTCCCACGGTGCTGCCAGCCACCGCGTTATGAGAGCGGAGATGGCAGCCACGTAACCTTGAGTGTGGAGGGCGACAGCCTGCTCTCCAACTTCTCTCGGCGTAAAGAAAGCACAACGCTGATCTGGCAAATTACGGGGGTCTTCTCAGCGAGAGACACACCATTCAGTGAATAGACTTCACGTCAGGGCATAGGCGCGCTCGGGGAGGGGGCTCTAGCCCGAGTGACGGTATTAGCCACCGCAATCGGAGGTTACCTAAGTCTTCCTCGCGTCTAAAAATCTCTTCAAAGATCGGCGAGGGTGCCAGGTGGTGCCCTGTCCCTGAGAGAGTAGGTGCTCTCTCGAAGGGACTGCCAGGGGAGGGCTATCGCGAGGGAGAGCTCTGACATCCAGGTCCGGTTGAGCCACAGGGGCGCAACCAGCAACCTGTTCCTCGTCCTCCCTGACCATGCACAGTAACTGCGCGAGCAGGCTCACTGGGGGAAACGCGTATTGCGCGTGCCCCGAGGCCAGCTGTAAGCCAGTGCATCCGTGCCGAGAGCACTCGGTCAGGGAAAGAACAACTGGCAATGAGCGATCTCGGGGGAAGCAACAGATCGATCTGGGCTTCCCCGAATCGCGCCCATATCAGCTGAACAGACTCGGGGTGGAGTCTCCATTCTCCAGGACGCAAGGCTGCCGTGAGAGCGCATCGGCTGCACGGTTGAGCTTGCCTGAATATGAATGGCGTGCAGCGATTTCAGCCGCGGATGACTCCAGAGGAGCAGACGGCGGGCGAGCTGAGACATGCGGCGAGAGCGCATACCCCCTATACGGCTGATATACGCCACCGCCGCCGTACTGTCCGTCCTGACCAGCACGTGTTGCCGCTCCAACACCGGAAAAAAACGGTGGAGAGCGGGGAACACTGCCAACAGCTCCAGGCGATATGCCAATGCAACTGGGTACCTTTCCACAGGTCCGCAGCCGCATGCCCGCAACGCACAGCCCCCCAGCCCGTGTTGGAAGCGTCTGCTGAAACGACAACAAGACTGGACGCCTGTTCTAGAGACACCCAGGCCTGTAGGAACGAGGGGTCGCTCCAAGGGCTGAGGGCGCGGCGACACAGCGCAGTAACAGAGACTCGGTGTGCGCGCGCGTGCCATGCGCGTCTGGGGACTCGATCGTGAAGCCAGTGCTGAAGTGGTCTCATATAGAATAATCCGAGCGGCATGAAGCGGCTGCGGATGCCATATGCCCCAGGAGCCTCTGAAATTGTTTCAGTGGGACCACTATTTTACTGTCGAGCTCTCTCAGACAGTACAGCATCAGCTGAGCGCGCTCTCCGGAGAGGCGCGCTGCCATGGTGACCGAGTCCAGCTCCAGCCCGAGAGAAGAGATCCTCTGCACGGGGGCGAGTTTGCTCTTTTCTCGGTTGACCTGAAACCCCCACAGGTGGAAGTGCCAGAGCACTTTGTCTCTGTGCATAATCAACTCTGTGCATAATCAAAAGAGAGGGCAATTCAGCCAGTCGTAAAGAAATTGAGTATGCAGATGCCCGCGAGCCGAAGGGGCGCTGAGGCACCCTCCGCGGGCTTGGTGAGGACCCGCGGAGACAGAGAGAGCCCGAAGGGGAGGGCTTTGTATTGCCAAGCTCGACCTTCAAACGCAAACCGCAGAAACTGTCGGTGGCGAGGAAGAGTGGAGACATGGAAATACGCGTCCATCAGGTCTAATGCTGCAGACCAACCCAGAGGACGAACGCACCGGAGGATGCGCTTCTGCGTGAGCATTCTGAACGGCAGCTTGTGCAGGCAGCGGTTCAAAACGCGCAGATCTAGGATTGGCCGTGACCCACCGCTCTTTTTGGGCACGATGAAGCGTGGGCTGTAAAACCCGCTCTCCATCTCGGCTGGAGGGAGCGGCTCGATTGCATCCTTCGCCAGGAGGACAGCAATCTCCTCTCGCAAGACAGGGGCGGACAGGGGGCTGACCCTGGTGAATACACACCCGTGACTTGGGGGGCCGTTTCGCGAACTGAATCGCATAGCCGAGTGTGATTGTGCGTATGAGCCACCGCGAAGAGCTGGCCCGCGCTAACCAGGCAGGCAGAGCTCTCGCTAATGGACTCATCGCTACAATCGCTGACGTACCAGCAGTGGGGCAGCGCGGAGTGGGTGTGCTGATCCGGGAAGCTCGCGGGTCCCACGGAAAAGCTGGAGGTGAGATATTTGCTCTCACTCCAAACCCGAGCTCCGGAGGGGAGGCTCGAGGGGTGGGAGAAAGGAGACCGTCCTCCCAGCGCTCGTGAGCCACTGGCGAAACGCACCGAATCTGCAAGCTAGAAAGCATAGCGTCCCAGACTGGCAGATTTCGGGCTGTCACATCTGGGGAAGTGAAAAGTGCCCTTTCATAATGTTTTCATGGCAGTAAAAAGTGCCGTTGGAAATGGGGCCCCGCCCTCCAGCGGGGAAAGAGCAAGTTCCCTCTTCTCCAGATGGCCTGTCCCAGGGGCGCTTCGCGGTCCGTTGCCGGACTTAGCGGCGTTCTGGGCAGGGGGGCTGCCTGCTTCCGAGGTGCCCGACGCGCTCGCTTCGCCTTAGGCGTGTGCGGGGGCGGAGCAGCTCTCGTAGGCGGGCGCCTTCGGCGAGGAGCAGGTATGAATGGCACGGCGGGCGGAGCGGGCTACGGACCGCCGATAAGACATCACCCACCAACTGCTCTCTCACCGCCTTGAATTCCTGGGTGAATTCACAGACAGTGTCGCCGAACCTGGCTGGGGATATGGGGAAGTCAAGAAAGCGGACTTTGTCGACTTTGCGCATATCAGCCAGGGGTGGCGCTCCTGGACCACTAATGTGGACATCGTCCTCCCCAACGCACACGCAGCGGACTCAGTAGTCCGAAGAGCTAAGTCGGCGGCGGTGCGAAGCTCGTAAGCCTGGGTTGGACCCACCCTCGTGCAGCTCGGCCAGCGCCTGCGCTTGGTAGCGCTGGTAGGTGGCTATCGCATGCAAGGCGGAAGCAGCCTGGCCCGCAGCTATGTAAGCTCTAGCTCCGAGGGAGGTAGATAACTTACAGGCTTTGGATGGGAGACGAGGCGGACCCCGCCAAGAAGAGGCGCCGCGCGGATTTACCGCCATCGCGCACTCAACCTGAGGAATCGCCACATACCCCCTGGCTGTTTCACCGTCAAGAGTGGTTAGGGTGGAGGAACACGCAGCACGAGCAGAAAAAAAAG